AATGCAATGATTGAAGTAAGCTATTAACTCTTTTAAATATTTTGATACTTAATAATAGTGTTGTTATCGACTTAATCAAATTTACTAAATCATCTAAAAGTTGACTAGGCAAAAATAGTTGACTTTAAAAAATCCAATAGTCAATTTAATTGACAATGGACTTCCTACTAATCGATCAAATATCGATTTAATTGAGTCTTTTTGTTCAAATTAACTTTTCAATAATAAATTTGTTTGTTTATTTAATAACAAAAGCATGTACTATTATAACTATTACCTAGTTTTTTGTTTGCTCTCTTAAAGTCTAATGTTTCAAAGTTTTATCTAACTCATAGCAATTAATTAGATAAAACTTTAAAAATTAGTTAGCTTGGTGCCCTAAGGCAAAAATAAGTTGTGAAACTCCAAATTCTAAGTGTGATCTATACAATCGCATTGTAAATATGAATGTAAAAACTTTGATATATAGCAAGTATTTAAAGCAGTTCTTAATACATTGGGGTCTGGGAATAAATCATTCTGTTGTCAAAGTAACCCTTCTCTCATATTGTTTTGCTCCATTAAAATTTAAATGATATGATGTTAAAAAATAGAAAGCGAATATAAATTACTTTATTATTTTCATTACATTTTATTTCAAAAAAAAAAAACTATTCCCATATTTTTACTAAATTAATTTTTAATCGACTTAGTTGATTTCAAAAATGTCGATTTTATTTGACTTGAATATATTAATTGATTGAGTTGACAGTTGAATTATTTAATAACCATAAAATTGTATTTATTTCTTGTTTCGGAAGATCTGAGATGATAGCCACACTTTTACATATTATTTCATTATCTTCCATAATGTAAATAACAAAAAGATGCAATATTTCTTAACTGTTGTTTCAATAGAAATCTTGCTGTTACTGTCAACCTTGTGACTCTTAAATACAAACTTTGACAAGTCAACTATGTGGAAAAATAAGTTAAATAAAAGATCTGTGCATAGTCATAATTAGTATCTTTAATTTATTATTTTAACTTATCTAATTTATTATTTTTATGTTGTTAACTTTTTCACAATTTTATTTCCAAAATTTCTACAAAAACATTTGAAAATGATTTTGTCTAGCTATTTTTAATTTTTAAAGCATTTTATATACAAGTTTGCTAAAAATATAAATAATAATAATAAGGAAATGACACAAAAAAGAAGCTCATATACCTATAGCTCATATATCATATATTACTTTTTTAAGCCTTTAAAAATCTTACAGGAAACTCTAAATTTGAAATGAATATTGACCTCCATTAAACTTATCAGCCTTTTAAAAAATTTAAAAGTTGCTTTAAAAAGTTTATTTAAGTACTAATTTTTAAGTAACAAATGATTTTCTATGCCATTCTACCAAAAAACTCATACCTTGCTAACTAAATATTTTTCTATTGAAACATTTATTTATGTTTTAATTTTGCAGTTTAGCAAAACATAAACTGATAGCAAACATCATGATAATTTGTAACCATCTAAACATTTTTTAGTCAGGCTCAGCACAACAACTCTGCTATTGGCATCATGTAATCATGTAACTAACTGTCCCATGCCCTGCTGCCATGTAGGCTGCCACTTTTTCGAGGCAAGGTCTTAGAGAAACAAACTCCGACATAAATAAACCCTGCCTTGGAGCTCATGATCGAGTTAAGGCTAGAGAGTCTAGCCTTTACTCAATCATGAGCTCCAAGATTTTTTATAGTGTCTTGATAAAAATACTTATCTTGAGCAGATGTTAACTGCATTCAGAAACTGTCTTGTAAAAGACCTCCTAGGCAAAGACTTGAGGGGTAAACAGATTCTATCTGTTGATCAGTTTTGCACCCTTACTTTATCTATTAGGCTAGCGTAAATGGATTTTTAATACATTGTTTCTTGTTTAGGATGTTAAATTCTGGATCTTCTTCACTCATCGCAAGCGTTTTGCTTGTGTTTCTGTTTTTGTGATTAGACAACTCATTCTATTATCTCCTTATGAGTGTACAGCTCTAAAAATCAGTTTTATGGTTCTGAGGCCGGCTGGAAGTAAGGTTTACCCAACTCTGTGGTAGCTCTCAGAGAGACTGATTCTATCAACAGCTGTAAAATATCGGAGTAACAGTGCTATGTTGTGCATGGATGTTGTCCCTGTTCGTATGTTTGGTGTGCATTGTTAAGGCCACATTTGGAGCCCTTTGTTATAGCTTAGGGATTATTAATAATAATGAGGCAATTGCTTGAACTATTAGAAAGTGTACTGAGTACTACCTGATTTTGAGTCAAATTCTTTAAATCAATTTATAAAATAACTAAAATATTAAAAAATAAAAAAAACAAAAAACCATTGTATTCACCAAGTTATCTAAAACTAACATTCACCAATATTCGTAGTCTTTGAAGTAACTTTTCTCCTGTTGAGTCTTATCTTTTGCAAAGTTCACCAGACCTACTTGCTCTTTGTAAGACTAACTTGATTCCAGCTGTATCATTTTGTGACCTTAGTGTTAATGGTTATCTTCCTTTAATTAGTACTTTAATTAGTAGACTCCAATAATCACATACTTGGCCTGGGCATTTACATTTATTTGCAAGAATTCACCCATTTGTCATAAAACTAGGTTTGAATCCACAGAATATTCTTTTATGTGCCTTCATTTAGCAACAATTCACTCCTTTATGTTAAGACTGCACTCTTTTAGATTGACCTTTCACTTTATCCTTCTTATAAAATTATTGTTGTTGGAACTTTAATGTTCATAACACCGAATAGTTTGGCTCTAGTGTCAGTGATTCTGCAAACGCTAAGGTACACAAATTTTGCCGTTTGTCAATCTTTAACACAAATAATCAACTTTCCAAATGAACCATTTACCTTCTCTAGACAGACAAATGAACCATTTACCTTCTCTACTCGACTTGTGTCTTGTTTCTGATCCTAGTCAGAGCTCAAATTCTCCACATTTACCCTTAGGTACTTCTGATCACAGTTTGATCTCTCTAAAACTATTATCTTATTCTTCTTCATCATCTGAATCCCCCTATCATTGTATTTCTTACAACTACCTTAAAGCTGACTTGAACTCTTTCCTTGATTTTCTTCCTGATGGCCCTTGGGTAGAAATTTTGTGTCTTTTTGCTGACAAATGTGCTTCTTACATAACTTCTTGGATTCAGGCTGGAATGGAGTGTTTTATTCATTCGCAATGATTCCAAGTCAAGCCTCACTTTTCTCTATGGTTTTCCTCTTGTTGTGTTGCTGCAATACCCAATTGTAACCATTATTTCTATATCTATCACAAAAGTGATTCTCCAGAAAATAGGTGTCTGTTTAGTATTGCTTGAAACCATTCTTAAAAGGTTCTGTCTAATATTAAAGCCTGCTATTTTTAGGTCACAAAGTCTAGTATTTCATCTCTAGAATTAGGCTCCAGAGACTTCTGGAAAATCTTTAAAAGTACCTATAATAAGAGCAAATCTGTTATTCCACCTCTTTTGCATGGTTCAAAATTTGTTACCTCACCTATAGATAAAGCTGATTTGTTTACTAAGAACTTCTCATCAATCTCATCTCTTGATTCTACTAATCATATTTTACCTGATATAGCCGACAAGCAAATTGTTCCATTTCTTGACATGTGTATCACTTCAGTTTCTGCATCTAAAGTGATCTCCTGCTTAGTTTCTTCAACAACTTGTGGTCTGAAAAACATATCTGTTATAGTCTTGCAGAGAAGTTCTCTAGAGCTGTCATCTATACTTTCAAAACTATTTAATAAGTGCTTATCAGAGTCTTATTTTCTAGTTTGCTGGAAAGCGGCATCTGGTTGCTTGGAGGGGGCATTTAAGCTTGAAAAAGATCTCACTTGTGCTATCTCACTGGAGGCTTTCAGAGGCTGGTGAACTTTAACTCAGATTAAAATTTATAATATTTTTTTTGCTAACTGCTATCACAACAATCTAGATCTTTCTATATTTTTGAATGGTAATGTACTCTATAAATTTTAAATTCATCCTTGTATTGAATACTCTATTTTTGAATGTAATGTACTTTATAAATTTTAAATTCATCCTTGTATTGAATACTGTTGCCATATCTGGAGTGAATCTTCCAATGATTCCCTTTCTTTTTTAGACAAGGTGCAAAAACGCATTATAAACATAGTTGGATCTGCACTTGCAGCCAACCATCAACCATTGCCACATTGTTATAATGTTGCTTCTCTTTTTCTTTTCTATAAATACTATAATGGGGGCTGCTCTAAAAAACTAGCGCCTCTTGTGCCATTTACTGAAATTCAATCTTGTGGTACTTGTCATTCAACCAAATCTCTCATTTTTACTTTGACTGTTGCTAAGTGCTTTAAAAATTATTTTTCGTTTAGTTTTTACCTCGAACATCAGTTTTTTGGAATTTGCTCCCTTTATTTTCTTTTCCTGATTCATACAATTTTCTATCCTTTAAGTCACCTTTTAATAGTTTTAATCTTGGTTTACAAACTTTGTCTTTTCTTTTACAGTAACTTAGAAATCTAATAGTGGTTGCTTGCAGGCTTGTTAGTAGTGAAAAAAATTTAAAAAAAAAAAAATTTCACTAACAAATAAACCAATGTCTGTGCAATTGAATCTTAACAACAAGCTTTAAACGACCTGGGGCAATAAACAGATTTACTTTGATGTAGAAAAAAATGTTGTTTTAAATCAACAAAAAATAAACATAATAAAATAAAACTATTTAATCAAATTACTAAATTAAAAATTTCTTAATTGGTTTTTTTTTTCAGTTTTTTAGTTTTACATTATTATACATAAATTTTCTTGAAATTTGTTAATTAAATTAACACTTTCTTGCAATTACTTCCATTGCTACTTTTTATTTGTGCAAACATGTTAAAGTTCTTGATAAATGCTTTCAGTGATTTTGTGCATGCCAACTAAAACAATTTGAAAAGCAAAAATATTTTTTTCATTGTATATGTTTACTTACTGTAAATTTGTCTTTTTCTAAAATACCGTTTTTAACAAATGTATGAACAGCATCTTTCGCGATAAATGCCGACATTAACTTGCAAACCCAAGATGGATTAATAAAAATGATATCTTGAAAACCTTTATTTGCACCATCACAATAAAGAATAGTACCTAAAGAAAAGTAAATTTAAAAATATTGAAATGAAATGAACTTTTATGTTACAGTTAATATTTTGTATTTGTAATATTAGTAATAATGAAAGTAATTTTTATGTTAATAAAAACAAATTTTAATTCTGAAACATTTAAAAAGAAAAAAGAAAAAAAATAAAGGAATTTTTTTTTTTTTAACATGAGAAAAATTGAAATTGTTGTTTATAAAGTATTTTTTCAGAAGTGTAGATCTTGTTGAAAGAAGAGATTTCAATTGTTTTGAATTAAAAATAAAATCAGTGCAAACGATAATTATTATTATTATTAATATAATATTGTATTTATATGATTGTAAATTTTGAGGAAAATAAATATCTTGTTGCTGTTGTTGTTGATAAACAGTATTAAATAAAAAGAACAAAGTAGAACTAACAAAACTTGACTTTAATATCTTAAAAGCTAGACAATACACAAGTAAAATATTGAAAGGAGCAAAACAGAAAAAAATGCTTGGGAAAAAACAAGCAATAACACTTGCTTTATATTTTACTAAGAGTAGTAAAAGACAATGTAACATTTTTTGTAATTAAAACTTTGTTTAAACTTCAAAAAGGTAGTTTATTTTTAAATGTTAATTTTTGTTTTAAACAAAAATTTTGGGTAAATTATTCTTGTTGAGCTTCAAAGCAAATCCAAAAAAAATCAATGACTAAATGTATCAATAAAGAGATATCAATGGCAACAAGGAAAAGACATGTGCTAATCTTAATATTTTAAGTACTGTAGTGCTTTACTTTCATAAAAAACTAGAGCAGTACAAGTGGAGATAGAAGCTCAGTCAAAAGAAATAGATAGTACTTCAGTTGATGAAAATAAGATCATTTTCTCAGATCATTCTTAGATCAGACAAGTGTATTTCTTAGATCAGACCAGTGTATTTCTTAGATCAGACAAGTGTATTTCTTAGATCAGACCAGTGTATGTTCTAAAAAGGTTTTAAGATATAATGTAAAACGATGAGAGAGAACTGGCAATACATCACAATATGATGAGATAGAACTGTAAATGCATCACAATACATCCTCTAGTATTATTTTCAGGTTAATATTCTGATTTACTCTCAATGAGGCTCCAAGCAACCACTATTAAGTTGGCAGTTACTAGAAAAAAAGAATAGAGTTATAGAGCAAGGAAACGGTTAACAGGAGACTTGAAAAGTTGTATGAGTCAGGAAAACATGAAAATCTGAAAGATTTCTAAAGGGTTAAAGTGCGTGTAAAAAAACTAGATGATTAAAAGATTTTAGAGCATGCAGGGACAGATACAGTTCAAAAATGAGACTTTGCTGAATGACGAGTCAAGCAAAAATGAATTTTAGTTAATGGAAATAAAGATGATAGCTCCTTTGAGCAGCAACCATGATAGTTTTAGTAGAAAAGAGAAAGAGATGCAGCTTTACAATGATGGGAAAATGGCTCAAGCTTAGCAGATTGAGTAGGTCCAACTATGCTTACAATGCTTTTTTGGACCTTATCTAGAAAAGAAAAAGATTAATTAAAAGAACCTGACCAAATATGACAACACTATTGCATACAGGAATGAATAAGAGATTTGCAGAGGTAGTGAACGGAATCAAGAGTAAGAAAATGATGAGCACAATAAAGTTGTAAGATGTATGATGATAGGGGATTCAAATGATGAAGAAGAATGAAATAATAGTTTTAGAAAGATCAAACCGTGAACAGAAGCATCTAAGAGTGAATATGGAGAAACAGAGCACTGACTAGGTCAGAAACAAGATTTAAGTCAGGTAGAGAAGGTAAATGATTTGGGTTGTCTGGAAAGCGAGTTGGAAAGTTAATGCTTTAACACCTGCAGAGTCACTGACACTAGAGCCAAGCCATTTAGTTTGATAAGCATTAAAGTCACAAACAACAACAATATTGGGTGATAGATAAAGAGAGAGGACTAGGTCAATTTGATCAGAAATAATATCAAAAAGAGTACAGTCTTGAGATTAAGGAGTGTGATATAAAATAAAGAGAAATGCGATAGAGTGAAGTGGTGCTAAACGAAAGCACATAAAAGAATAGTCTGTGGATTTAAACCTAGTTCCTCATAGTACCCAACCTATATAGTTATATACGAAAGCACATAAAAGAATAGTCTGTGGATTTAAACCTAATTTCCTATAGTATTGAACCTATATAGTTAACTATAGTACCAAAGACTATAAAACACTGGTTGAGGCTGGTCAACAGATAGAATGTGTTTACCCCTTAAGTATTTGCCTAGAAGGTCTTCTACAAGATAGTAGCTGGATGTGTTTAACAACTGCCCTAGATGAGTTTTTTTTTTATCTAAACACTATCTCTAGCCTTTATTCAACCAAGAGCCACAAGGCAGGGGGTGTTTTAAATCAGAGTTGGCTTCTCCTAGCTTTTGCCTAAAAAAGCATATCCTACAAGATAGCAGGAAATAAAGCAGGTTGTACTGGGTTACATGTAAATCAGTAGCAGGATAGTCTGACCTGACTTTAACTGCAGTAGTAAAGTTATTCTTGAAGGAATAAACTCTTCTTTATCTCAAATTACTTTAATGGTACCACAAGGTTTGCTCCTGTGTTGTGTATATGTGCTCCTTTCTCATCTACAATAAAAATCTTCATGAAAATTTTACATCTTAAGTGGCTTAATTTGTAAACAACTCAACTTTATACTCTTGCCTTGAAAAAAGTCTTCATTGTTTGATTGCTTAGAACAAGCAGCCGATTTTTAATATGAGCTAACTCATAACTTTAACTAACTCAACCACTCATAACTTATGAGTGGTTGCTTGCAACCTTATTGGAAGTAAATTAGAGTTTTAAAAATATATAAACATATAGCAGCATTTAATTAATAATAAATGTAAGTATAAAATTATAATATATAAAGTATTATAAATTTTTTTCTGGCTATTGGCTATAATAAATCTTATAATTTGCTAAATCTTATAATTTTGCTGGTGCCAGGGCCAGGTTTGCAAAAAAACTTATTTTTAACCGGGCCAGAGCCGGGATTGGGGCCCTAGTCACTTACTACTATCAAGTAGTAGATTTTTAAACATTTAAAATAAAAATTTTAGTTTTTGCAATCAATATTTTTAATATGGTTTTAATTTGCTCAACATTCTAAATTTGACCTAAATTTAACCAACTAGATGCAATGAGGATCCCAGTTAACATTTTATAAAAAGTAGATATTATTAATGAATATTATTTTCTATATATAATAATAAGCTTTATTACTAAATTTTATCACAACCACAAAATTTCATCACAGATCTGAACAAAAATATTTTGACAAATTTTACAATCTTTTAACAAACTTTGTTAGTTGTTTAGTTTTATTCGAAATTTGTTTGATTCTGATTTACTCCCAAAAAGGCTGCAAGCAACCACTATTTAGTTTGGAGTAATTAAAAAAAAAAGAATAGAGTTATAAAGCAAGGAAACAGTTGACAGATGACTTGAAAAGTTAAAGGTTGTATGAGTCAGGAAATCATGAAGATTAGAGAGAGAGTTCTAAAGGGTTAAAGTGTGGAGGAAAAAACTAGACAAATAAAAGTTTTTAGTGCGTGGAGAGACAGATACAGTAAAAAAATGAGACTTGCTGAATGACGAGTCAAACAGGAATGAATTTTAGTTGATGGAACTAGAGATGATAGCTTCTTTAAGCAGCGAACAAGTAATTGTAGTAATTGTAGAAAAGAGAAAGAGATAAAACTTTACAATGATGGAAAAAAAGCTCAAGCTTAGCAGATAGAGCGGGTCCAACTAGGCTTACAATCTGTTTTCGGACCATGTCTAGAAGAGAAGAGCATCATTAGAAGAACTAGCCCAAATATGATAACAGTATTCCATACAGGGACAAATAAGAGATTTGTAGAGGTAGAGAATGGAATCAGGAGAGAGAAAATGGCAAGCTTGATAAAAAAAGCAACCCAAGCAGATGTTAATTTAGCAATCTATTGTATATATGGTTTCCATGAAATGTCAGTAGTAAACAATAATCCAAGAAGATGTAAAGAAGAGGACTCAGTGAGAGGGTTGCCATTCATTAATATAAGAATGTTGACAGTACTGTGATATTTGTTTTCAGTGAATAACTAAGTTTTGTTGGAGTCAAATTTACTTAGCCACTGTGAGCCCAAATATGAAGTGAGATCAGATTCAAGATTGGCTGCCTGTTCTAAGCAATTGAAAAGAGAAGACTTTTTGTCAAGACAAGAGTATATGTGAAATGATGTGAAACAAATAGATAAACCATTACCACGTTTAAAAAGGCTATTTAAGACATTAGGCATTTGATTTCCGCAATTATATAGATTTTCTGTTTCAAATTTGGTCATAATTGGATGAATGGCATAAGAATGAATGAAAAACATACATACAAACAAATAAACATACATAAATTTATAAAGAAAAATTATATTAAAGATATCAAAATATTGTAAATAACAAGGAATAAAATTAATAACAACTAATGAGGATAAAAATTGATAACTAATAAAATAACTAGAGATAATAAATAAAAGAAAATAATAAGAATTAAAATTAAACAAGTAACAAAGAAAAACAAAATGCCATATGAAAAACAGACTTTGGTAAGTGTTGCCAAAAAAATTTTAAGCTATCAATAAAAATAACTAAAGAAATCACAGGAATGTGTAAGCAGTAAATACAAATTGTAATACTATAAGAACCAGGAATAAAAATTCTACAAATAAAGTTACAAATAATAAAGTTGCAAACAATTACATAAAATTAAATTTAAAAAATTTAAGAAACCTGTGTTCATCAGAAACTTAGTTGCTGGTTCTAAATCATCATCTTGAAAGATATCATCATTATCACATTTTAATGACTTCGCAAGAGAAATGAATTCTTCTCGACTAATTATTGGAACCTCATTATTATTTTCTTTCTGTTTTTTAATTTCATTGATCTTTTCTTCCAACTTTGTATAAATTTGTGGAAACAATTTACCCATTATTTTCCCCCCATTTTGTTTCCCATCATATGTCATAGTTTCTGCCAAAAGATAGATTTCTGTTTTAAGTTTCTCAATGTCTTAACAATGAAAAAAAAAAAAAAAAACATCAAATAAGAATTTAATAAATAAATAAAAATTTAAAAAATCAATATAATAATTATTTTATATTAATACCAAATATATTATAATTATAATTTAATTCTAAATTAATATAAGTTTTAATTTAAAAAACAAAAAAAAAAAATTTTGATCAAAAAAACTTCACACTGTAATTGTTAATTGCTTAAATATATTTTGACTATAACTTAAAATAATATTTATATTTGCTTCGATAGTTTTTTAAAATATACTTCTTAATACTAAGATGAAGGAGGGGGGGGGGGGAACTGAATTGAAGCTGCATATTTAGGAATGTGATAATGTGGAAATAATCTTTGCTTATGTCATTTAAGATTTTGTTTGCAAACTATAATAAGTGAAGATACCTTATTTGCTCTCGCATTTAAAAACATGGCTGAAGTAGAAGATTAAGAAAACTATCAAGCAGCTACAAAAGGTTGCTCAATTTCAGCTGTAAAAATCTCTTTCTAGAAGGTAGCAACTTTCGATTTGATTATATCAACTCTTTCTAGAAGTTGCTATAATCGAACTCCACATAATGAAGTTGCAGTTTTATTTGTTAGTGAATGTGCTCCATCTCCTCCAGGTTAGTTGGTAATATAAAAGTTGTCATCCTCTAAGAAACTGTATTGAGAATGAGTGCCAAAGATTCTATGGTCAATTAACTTTTTTTCCCAAGTGATGCTGGTTAATATAATCAATTGGTGCACAACCCTGAACCTACTACGCATGATAGAACCTATGTTACACTACTCCATGTTTGCAATTATTGACTTAGTTAATAATTGCAGTTAGACAATTTTTAAAATAACTTATAGCAAATAACTTTTCAAAAAAAATTTCAGCAATATACTGTTGATGCAAATGTCAAAGTTGAAGACCAGCATTTTGCTTTAATGAGAAATAATATTAAAAAAAAATTTGCTTTAAAAAAGAACTAAAAAAAAAAGAAACAAACTGAGAAATGAACAGTATGATATCTTAGATAAACACATAAAAAGACCTTGAAAAAAAGTTTTGCCATCATTTTATGTAGGAATTCCTAAAGCTTCAAAAGAAAACTTTGAAGACGCTATGGGTATGATTAAAAAGTTTGGTGAACTCGATCTTTTTATTACTTTTACTTCCAACCAAAATTATTGTTAAATAAATGAAAAATGTTGGACAAACTGCAAATGATAGACCTGAGTTGGTTATTTGCATATTTAAACTCGAATTACATAACCTCATCAATGATATTTTAAAACATGGTATATTAGGAAAGGTTGTAACTTATTTTTGGGTAATTGAGTTTCAAAAAACTTGCCACATATGAATATTTTACTTCACTTTACAAATGAGGATAAACTTGAAACACCAAAGAATGTCAATAAATTAATACATGAAGAAATTCCAGATCTGATTGTTAATCATGAACTTTGTGATGTTAATAAAATTTGCATAATTCACGGTCCATGTGATGTATTAAATATGAATTCCCCCTGTAAATTTATAGTTTGTAGATCACAACATTGTATGTATGTTGCATGTATGATATGATTATTAGCTACTTATTGTATTTTACCAACATTTTATTGCCATGTTTTTAAATTGGGTTTTAATCCTATTCAGGCAGGGAGTATTATAGTTTTGTTAGTTAGCAGCGTTTAGTGCCAAGAGGTGTAAATATTGTAGGGCGAGATTGTGATACTGCTGGCAAAATAAAAATGCCATTAAAATAAACATTTTACATTTTAAAATTTTTTAAAAATTATTTTGAAAAGTGGGAGTCTGTACTTAAAATACTTGTGATGCCTACTTTTAAAAGTGATTTTCAAAAATAACTTCATAATAAATTCCTTTTATGTGGTTAATTGAAATTCATGATAAAACACATAAAAAATAGATTTACATTATATACAAGTTTAGTATATATGTAAATAATAATATACATTAATATACATGTAAATAAAAATTGCCTTTTTTATTCTTACTAATAACTGTAATAATTATGGGTTATACCCAATATTACAGGTTGTTTATTGCTAATTATACTATTATAAGAAATAACTAGATTATTAAAAGATAAAATATTATTATAAGCAATAATTGTTAAACTTTTTTTAATCATTTCATTAACCAATTTGATTTTTATTATGATTAATTAAAAAAAAGTCTTGTAGTTATGACTTGGAAAACTACCACATTTGCCTAATACTAGATATTAATACAATTTACTACAATTAAAAAAACTTTTTCAATTGCAGTAAAACCTTAGCATGTAAAAAAAGTAACATATAAAAGT